AACCAGTTTGCTGCTGACAACCAAAACCAGCTGATCACATGGTCAAGAAGGACCATCAGCCTAACAATGGATCATTAGCACCTGATGGCTGTTTACTTCAGGATGGTCCAGCACAGAAGATCAACATCATCAGGCCAGGACTCTGCGGTCTACACTCATCTCCAGGCCAGCGGTCACTCTTTCAGGGATGAAGATGTTCACATCCTGGACAGAGAGGAACGATGGTTTGAGAGAGGAGTAAAGGAGGCCATCTTTGTGAAAAGAAACCGTCCATCATTAAACAGGGGCGGAGCCTCCGGGTTCAACTGTCCCCCTCTTACAATGCTGTGATTGCTAGTATCACTCAGCCCTCTGTGAACAGTAAACAGCCATCAGGTGCTAATGATCCATTGTTAGGCTGATGGTCCTTCTTGAGCATGTGATCAGCTGGTTTTGGTTGTCAGCAGCAAAACTGGTTGATCCACTCTGAGAAGGTGCTATTTAAGAGACTGAGCTGAAAACAGCACCTCAGACTGAAGAAGTCTCTCGGAAGCGAGACAAAACGTTTCTACATTTTTTTTGCTTTGTTTTGTTTTTTGTTTTTTGAAAGTCCAGAGGACCAGAATGAACTTTTTTGGGTCATTAAAAACCTTCAGTAGGGCAGTTTCAGTGCTATGGAGAGGTTTAAAGCCAGACTGGAATAGCTCTAAGATGGCGTGACCCTCCAGGAAGCACTTCAATTGGGACTCGACTATTTTCTCCAGTACTTTAGAAACAAATGGGAGTTTGGAGACAGGCCGGAAGTTGGATACAACTGAGGGGTCAAGGTTTGGTTTTTTAGGAGAGGCTGGACAGCAGCATGTTTAAAGGTTTTTGGCACCACATCAGTGGATAAACTACTGTTTACTATATCAAGAATGGACGGACCTAGAGTAGGAATAACCTCCTTTAGTAGTCGAGGGGGGACCACATCAAAGGGGGAGCCAGAAGGTTTCAAGTTGCACATGACCTGCTCTAGAGAAGATAGAGTGATGGGTTCAAAATGGTCAAAAGGAACTACAGATTGAGGTGGGATGGATGGGTCATGAGTTGGAGGGGAAATGAGAGCCCTGGTGGTCACAGTTTTTTCCAAAAATAAATGTAAGAAGTTTTCACACAGCTCAGTCGAGGCTTCCAGAGGTGATGGTTCAGTGAGGTGGAGAAAAAAGTTTAGGGTGGAGAAGAGGACACGTGGGTTGTGAGAGTTTGAGGTAATTATATCAGAGAAGAATTTTGATTTAGCAGCTTTTACTGCTTTCTGATAACAGCGCCAACTCTCTTTTAGTATTTGAAAAGAGACCTGCAGCCTGTCTTTCCTCCACTTGCGCTCCGCCCTCCTACATTGCTGCCTAACGGCCTTGGTGACGTCATTCAGCCAAGGTTCTGCTCTGAGTTTTTTTTTTTTTTTTTTAACAGGAGCGACATGATCCAGAGTCTTTAAGCAGACAGAGTTGAACTGGGATGTAAGCTCCTCCATGGTGGTGAGAAACACTGGGGGCTGAATGATCATTTCAGAGTTATAAACATCTGTGAAATGTGCGGCAGTGAAGTGGTTAATGGCCCAGCTACTACGTGCAGGAACGCTCGGCTTAGGAGTTTGATGGGGGAGGGTGAACTCAAACCGGACTGGCATGTGGTCTGAAAAAACATTATCACCAATAACAAGATTACAAACAATCACATCATGAGTTAAAACAAGGTCCAGTGTATGTCCACACTCTTGGGTGGGACCGTTTACATGCTGAGTTAAATTAAATTAGTCCAATAAATCTAAAAAGTCCTTAACCAAGGGCTTCTCAGGACAGCACACGTGCAAATTAAAGTCCCCAATAATGAAAACACGATTATATTTTGGTGTGATTTCAGCCAAGAAATCAGAAAACTCATTTATGAAATCCTTAGGTCGAGGTGGGCGGTAGACGAGTGCGCATAACGTTGAAGGCGAATGGACGAGTTCAAAGACGCTCAGCTCAAAGCTGGCACGGGAAACTGGGATGGGCAGTTGTTTACAGTCAAAAGTTGATTTGAATATTGTTAATAATCCACCACCGCGCCAGCCTGATTGCCGCGGTGTGTTAAAACACAGACAGTTCGGTGGCAGTAATTCCATCAAGGCGCTGGACTCACCCGGAGACATCCAAGTCTCTGTGATGCACAGAAAGTCCAAATCATGCTCTTGAAAGTAATCCCTGAGGATAAAAGTTTTGTTGGTAGCAGATCTTGCGTTGACCAAACACATCCGGATACTGTCCAAAGTGGACCCAGCAGCGGTGGAGAGAGCGTGCGCCAGTGGCCGCAGATTTTCAATAACGGCCCCTCCGGGTCGGCCCATGTGCTGCATCGATCGACAACTCCCGTTGTTTACCTGGTCCGGGCACGCAGGAAGCTGGCGATGGAAACCATGACCACCAGCTGAAGAGGAAGATGCAGTGTGCAGGGCTTTAAGCTTTACCAGCCGCCCAACACGTTTTCCCCGGCGTCTGGAGCGATGTCTCCGAGCAGGCAAGTGGAGAGTGTCGCGGAGGTAAACAGGCACATCCTCCAGCAGCTGGGAGGGGGGGGGGGGGGGGGGGGTCCAGTGGTACGCTCATTATGATCCAAATAAGCGACATCGGTAGCAGAAAAACGAAGATCCAGAAGCTGTTGTCAGTCATACACCAGCAGCGAGTTTATGTCCCAGATGAAAAACGAACAAAACACAAATAATCCGAACACCATCAGCAGAGGTGGATTGCAAGCCAAGTACACGGGCGCCATCTTACCGGAAGTGTACAGTACAGTATTACAGAAGTAATACAGTACAGTAATATTCTATTCACAAAATACTAACAATAATATGTCCATCTTACTTGTGAAAAGTTATCCCCCGAGACCTAATGTTAACAGTCCGTCGATTAGAACAGAAATAAACTGCGAAGTGCTGAGACATCTTCTGCTTTAACCAAATAAGGACGACCGCTCCAAGATGGCGGCCGAAAATCCTGCGCCACAGCAGTCAATGAGGGATCTAGTGATTATATGATATCTATGGACAAATACATAAATAACAAGTACATAAATAACAAGATGGTCGGACATCCAGGTCAGTGTTGCCAGGTGTACGATAATTATCGTATTTTTATGACAATTTTGCCCTTTGTATGATCAATAACCCCCAAAAAGGCCAAATATATGATAATTTGACCATTCCGTGAATGTGTGGTTGTAATCGGTTGTCATCAGCCTCTCGCAACTGTCTGTCGGAGTTTTTTTGAGAACCCTGAAGGCATCTGTGTCTGCAAACAGATGCACGATTGGCTTTTCTAAATGTTACCTATGAGTGATGTCTCCAAGTGTATGCGTTTGCCTCAGAACAACGGCCATGATAGGCTGAATAGGCCGCTGCGCCTGCCCCATCACTACTATAGTGCATCAATAGATTTGTTGTTTTGGTTATGACAGGTGTACGATAATTTCCCTCAAAATATGATAATTTTATGTCTCTAGTACAGAGGTGGGCAACATTTTTATCCAAAGGGCCACATCAAGACGTTTGAAGCAATCAAAGGGCTGCATAAAGAATTGTAAAATAAATGTTCTTTATGACAGATAATCTAGAAGACGCTTCTTTTAGGGTTTTTCTTATTGTAGTATAGTTAGCATGCTTTATAAAACATGTCTTTCCCATATATTTTAGGAAAAGGACATATTCTGTAAACTGAGTCTTGTGACTATGTTTTACTGTACACGTTAGCTTAACATGTTATACATGTTAGCTTAACTTGAAATACACACTAGCTTT